CGCGGGGCGGCCGCGCTGCATGGGGCCGGAGACCGGCCGGCATGGAGGGGGTCCTGTACAAGTGGACCAACTACCTGAGCGGTGAGTTCCTGCCAGCGCTCAGCCTTTGCGGGACGGGCGCCGTCATCTTCTCGTCTGTGTATTTAATAAGTGTATTATGTTCAGTGTATTTGATGGGTGCGGGTCAGTGCTGCTCCTTGACCCCTCCATCCCGGGGACCAGCCCCGGCTCTGCCTTATTGTCACTGCTCGGTGTTTATCCCGGTTGCGGTGCCTGTCCGGGCGCCCCTCGCCCTCCCCGCGGTCCTGGGTTGGGGTTTGGGGTGGTTTGGGTGCTCTGGGTCACAGTTCGAACAGCGAACTTCCCCGTTCTCCACACACCCCCGTGGAACTTCTGTTGAGGCGAGTCGGGGATTCCGGGCATTCCCAGAGCTGGGAGGAAAAGGTGTTGCCGTGTCAGTCCCACTTGGGGGATTCGGATGAGAAAGCATGCAGGGGAAAAAAATAAAAAAGACAAGAAAAAAGGGGGAGGGGGTTGTCCTGCCAGCTCTAGGCCCAAATTTTAATTTTTCGGGTGTTCCCGTGCCACGGAAGGTTTGATTTTCATGGCAGATTGGAAGCAGCCGTGTGTGGCCAGAGTTTGCTCTGCAGAGGTTAAAGGTGCTGGGGACAGAAGCCCCCGGTGTTCCCATGGGATGTCCACTGCCGTATTCCTTCGAGCCAGGTGAGGCAGAGGCGTGTGATTTAGGGTTGTGGATGGGGTCTTGCCGGGTGCAAACCTCTCCGTGGTTTGTTGGAACAGTTTGGAAACTTGAAGGTCAGAGGAAAGTAACCACGACCACCTTGACATTGCCAGGTGCGAGGCGAGTGTTGCTCAGTAGTGTATGTTACAAGGGCTGCCGCCTTGCCTGAATTTTTTCCCGAGAGGTTGGAACAGCTGCACCTCTCTGGTTAGCTGGGAAACTGTAGGAAATCAAAATTAAACAAAGAGAAAGCTGAAGCACAAGCGAGTGTTGAATTTATATGGTAGGGATGGCGGGGGGCAGGACTGGTGCATAAGACTTGATTTATTGCTGTGCTAGAAGATTGCTGTGACTTTTCCCCTTTAGGCATGAGGTGTTCTGAGATGAGAATCAAAATTTGTCAGGTCTCAGTGAACAGACATGGATTTTTTTGTTCTTGTTGTTAATTATTTGTGAATGCTCTTGAATTATGAAGTGGGAGTAGGAGCAGCCATGCCCTTTTCATTTGAATTGCAGGACTGTGATAGTGGTATTAGTCCTTAGTTAGTCCATTAGTCTCCATACTAAAAACACATATGGTCTAGTTGATTGAAAGTTTTACATGTTTTTCTTTGCATTGCTGAGATGCTGGGGTGTGTCTGGAATCTTTGTGCTTGGTTTTGTGCCATGAGACCTGGGAATGTGTGTCTGTGGGAAACAATGCATGTTGTAGATATGTCAAACTGGTGTTTGACATTTTAGTGCCTGAGTGTGCCTGCGGTAGGATCAGCTGGTTTTCTGTTTTCATGGTAAGATGAAGACTAAGAAGTATTCTGTATTCATCACAATTAAGTTTTCTTTTGTTAGCCACAGTGATAAGCACTTCCAATCAAATGACCCTTCAGGAAGAAGGATGATGCTTTGCAAACCTCAGTCTAAGTGAATGCAGATGAAGGAAGCTTTTCCTTGCATATATAAGATTTGTACTGGCTGAAAACTAGAAGAGGTTTTGCTGTCAACAGAGACAAAATCTGTGATGAAAGATTGAAGCATCCTTCTGATTTCTTGGTTGAAACTTGACTCTTCTAGTAAGTGTGGTGATCAAGGTCACTCTGTGCCTTTTCTTAGGTTGTAGAAGGCCCATGGTGTGTTTGAGAACAGTAAATTTGCTGCTCTGCAAGCTGTCTGTATATACTAGTGCTTTCTATTGCTGTAAAATGAAGACTTCCTGCCCTGAAGCCATTAAGTTATAAGTTTATGCAGAGATGGGGAAAAAAAAATTCATTCTGGAATGTGGTGTTAATTGTATCAATAACAAAGAGCTGGAATGAGAGACAGGAAAGCCTCCTTTCAAGGATTAAGGGAAGTAAGAATGTTCAACAGGTCATCCAGAACAGTATTTCTGCTAGTATTCTGCCCCCAGTATGCTTTTTGTGTTGTTCAAGGTTGATGAATCAGGTCCTGTATAGTGTAAATGATGCAAGCAAAAAGTAGGGAGATTGTGTGTCATCCCTATGCGTTCGCCTGTGCTAGTAACACGGTGCTGATGTGCCTCGGAGTGAGGACCCCTCACAGTCAGAGAAGGGATAGGACATTCAGAAAAGAATAAGCATAAAACTATAGAAAAGAACTGCTGTTCCTTCTTTCTGTGAGGGAGGAGCTGATGGGAATTTGTTGGTAATTTAGTCTTTTCTGGGACTTTTAATTTTGTAATGTCTTATGTCATTGCCATTATGAGAGGTCAAGTCCACATCAACCCATTTCCTCCCAGCTCTTAGGCCGGGAGCTAGATCTGTGTTACAAATTACATGGTTACTGACAGCAAGAACCTTTCAGAAATAGGAAACAAAGTTTGGTTTTCTGTGGGCAAAGGGCAAAGAAAGCACACCATGATTGCCACCAATTGAAAGACGGATCAGTTTGTCTTACTGCTTAAACAAGTTATCTTGTTTGTAATAAATGCACTTGTTTGCTTTATATAGATTAGAATAAATCAAATCAGTATTACCTGGTTTCTGCTTGGAGTAAGGGTTTTTCCTCTGGTGTTGATCCTGCACTCACGTTGTGGTTTCTATATGTAGGGTTCCAGTGCTACCTCAGAAATCTCTTGAGTTTAGAAAACTGAAATTTTGAGAGATTTTCTGTTCCCTAATGCAATGGCCACCAGATAGTGATTTCTCAGTGTGTTACTTTTGTTTAGGTTCAAGTGAAGTGTTCCAGCTTTGGATCAGATACACATTCACAGAGTTCTAGCCTATGATAACACGCTGGGATCTTGTGTTTGCACTGCATGTCCTTTGATTGCATTTTTCTATGCTTTCTCCACTAAATTGATTAAAACCTTAAGAGAGCAGGGAACTTTGGAAGCAGTTATTGTCATATAAAGTGAGACAGCACTTTTTCTTTTGGGAAAATATATAATACATCTGCAAACCTCAAATTATTAATCCTCAAAATCTGGAGCAGGGTGACTTAAATCATGCAGGCATGTAACTTGGCCTCAGCTGAGCTTATAGTCAAAGCATGTAACATGATCTTAAAAAATTCCTAGATTTCATCCTTTGCCAGAAGTCTCTATCTGATGTTAGCTTTGTTTGATGGGGGCTGGGGATGGGTGTGTAACTATTGTTTCACTACCACTTACCATAGTGAGCAGTTGGAATGATAAAGGTGTCACTGTGTGCCTTCCCTATAGCTCCTTGGTCTGCACTGCCTGCAGTCCTGGCTGAGCACAAACCATTCTGCTGTGGGCAGCATCAAAGGCAGATCCTGGCTGCAGTGCCATAGCGTGACTGATCTCCAGCTGGGGAGCGCTGCTTGCAGGACAGAGAAAGGACAGAGCGGAGCTGAACTGGACGTGAAGACTGCTCTTTGCTGCTTGGAAACTGCGTCCCCTGGGACTCTCTGACTGAACTTAACCTGCATTGTGTGCTCTTTATCGAGTGTAACTTCTGATTAATAAAATAAATTTATTTAGTCTTTGGAGTTTGCCTCCAAAAAAGGCAGATATGGTTTTTTTTTCTCATCTTATTTATAGAATGAGTAAGCTGGCAAACAGCATGGAGTTGAGGAATACCTCCCTTCTGTGGTGTGTGTGAGAGCTTGGCACTTTCAAGTTGATTTTTTTCTTTCTGCTGAAATTCAGTTCAGTTCAAATCTTCCATGTAGGCACACATCCTACCTGGGATTGCTGGCCACAGGCAGGATTGATGATAACTGTGGAAGAGACAGTATGGATCAGCTCTTGGCTGTGAGATTCAAAGGCAGCTTCATCATTAGATGAAAAAGGATGACTGCTTCCACTGGCTTGCCTGGTATATTTGTTACATGCTCCATGAAATGGCTTTGATCACTTTCCTTTACAAAGCTAAGCTTTTCCTGATATTTAAATATTCACTTCCTTATTTCTGCTGAGTAATTCGAACCCTAAGTATTTCATCTTCCTTAAGGCATGATAGACTCAGTTTCATGCCATCACCTGTGACGCTGCATCATGCCACATACTTCAATTAGCTCTCCCCATCTATCTATATGTAATCATCCCCTCTCAGTTTATTGTTGTACTTTGGATTCTTTTCAGTTTATCCCATGATACCAAGAGCCAGCACCAAGCAGTACATTCCAGCTTTCACATAGAACTTTAAATTACTCTTGTCTCTAATGATTCAGAATTCCTTAATAAACTTAGGGGTGGAGCTCAAGAAAATGTGAAAAAGCATTAATTCTTGTGTCTTGGATCTGGATGCATATGATATTGCTTAGAGCAAGTCTTTGTTTTAAGAGTTTAAGAAATCTGACCTTTAAGGATCAGAGACACATATCCTTCCAGTTGATATCCAGCTCTGGAAATAAGCTCCTCTGTTTCCAGACATGGAGGAATTAATGGAAAACTTCACACTTAGATAAAGATTTGGTTCTAAAAAGACTTTTATAATTTTCCCCTTCATTTTAGCCTCTGGATATAGTCCAAGTTCTGATTGTATAAAATTAGAAGTCTGGCTTTTGTGGAGGTGGACCTAGACAGCTGAGGTTTCTGTTGCCTTCAGGGCAATGGTCTGCCTTCTATTACTGGCTGTAGCTGCTCTCAGGATCCAGGTGTTGGTTTAGATTAATGCCTGACTCCCAGCCAGTTCTGGCTGGATGAGACTTTTCATGCAGGATACTTGAGGGACTGATTAGTTAATTCTCTTTGGATTTTGCTTAATTGTCTTTCTGTGATTTGACCTTCTTTCTCATTATTTTCTTCCCTTTTCCTCTGTATTTCTTCATGCAGCAGTCTTACTTTTGTCCAACCTTTTTGGAATTGTGCAATCTACTCTCAGTAGAAAGGTTTGATGAGGCTGCAGGAATGGAAATCAGTGTCCCTTCTCTCCTCTGGAAGTGTCAGAGCAGTGCTGCAGAGCCTCCATGGTGCAGCATTCCCTGCCAGGTATGCTGCAGTACCAGTGCCTCTGCATTCAGTCCCTCTGCACTGAAGTGATCACAGGGTAGGACTGAAACCAAAGGTGTGGTAGACTGATGGTGAAGAGATACCATCATGTGGTATCTGTATGTGCTTACATAAATTCAGTCTGTTGACTTAGTCTGGCATGATAACCACCCCAGGGGTCAGAGAGAGGAGCAGCTTGTTTGCTGGGGCTGAGAAGTATAAATAGAGGAGGAAAACTCCCAGAGCTTTTTATGACTTGAATTAGTGTGTCTGAGCAGTGGGCCTGTATTATTGAACTTCTGCCTCCACCATGATCCCCTCTCTGCCCTTCATCCTTTCACTGCATCCCCTTAAAAAATACCTGATGCTGGTACATTGTGCTTTGTGCTTTGGCTGGTCTCTGCCATAAAACCATTTGCAAACAAACCCAATTGCCCTATGATGACAGGATTCTCTTTCAATGCTGCTAACATTGCCCTAACACTAGTGATTGAAACAGAAGTGGATTTTATGGACCCCCTGTGAAAAAAATCGTTTGGGAGAAGGTCACTGTGTTAAAGCCCATTCCAGCTATTGCTACTTTCACTTGAACCTCTAGTGTCCCTCAAACGAATGCTTTAAAAAGTGATACCATTGTTAAAATGCTAAATCTTTGAACTTCATTACCTTTAGGGGCTTTTTTGTATTGATTCCTCCTGTTAATATGCACATCATTAAAGTGAAATTGCAATATGGGCATTTCCAGAAGCTGCTCTCTAGGTGACAGGATAGTAGCTCAGAAAAGAGGTGTAGATTGTCACACACTCTTGTCTGCCTTTCTGCTATCCCTCATGGATACAGGGGAATCTTAAACTGTATTTTTATCCAGTCAGATTGTTTTTCTACAGAATTAAGGCTGCAAAATGCATTCTAGCACCTGGGATTGCCCTTCGCAAAATACTGGGTAGCCTTAGAAGGCTGTCTAGAAAAATAGACACCTGTTTTGAGTGCAAAATGCTTGTGCCATCTTTTACTTCTGTTCCTTGAATGAGAAAAAAGGGGGAATGTTTCAAGGTTGATCTGTGTAAGATACTTTCTTGCAAATTGCTATTTCAGACTCGGAACCTGGTTGACTGACGAGCGTCTTTGCCCTGCTAAAGCTGAGTTTTCAGCAGTTCTTGTCCAGCTATCAGTTGCTGACGCAGCACTGGGCAGACAATGTGGTGCTTTTGCCCTTGGGGTGAGTTTACATGGCACAGTGTACATTTGCTCAGGATAGGATGAAATGATGGATTTTCATGGATGACATCCAATGGATGACGTTCTCACTGTGAGGTGGCTCTATCAGGGCACCCACTCTGGGACTTTTTTGTGACCCTGCACAGAAAAACAGGGATCTGTTCTGCTATGCCTCCTGCAACTAAGTCTTGGATCTTGTCCTTCTTATAAACAGTAGGGAGGGCTATAGTGGCTTTAACTCCTCCTGTGAGACAGATGTTGTAACATGGAAAGTTCATAATTATCTCCTATCTGCACCTAAACTCTGGATTAGGGTCAAAGAAGTCCAAGGACTTTTTTTGCAAAAGTTTTACAAAAACTTATTCTGAAGCTCAAGAAATTAATAAGCCTAAGATATTACATAATTCTTATGGAAAGCAAGCAATAATAGAAACCTGGGTGTCTGGCCTTTATGCATTCTAGAAATGCAGATGGAACTGGTGTCTTAATTGCCGCTTGTTTTCCAGGTCATCAATTTGACTTCTTGAGTATGTAATTCTCCCTGATGGCTTGGCTTTGTAGATGTCTGACATGATCTACATGTCTTCAAATGTTTTGTTGTTTGTTTTTTTTTTTAATTCAGGCTTGGCACTTTGGAAGGAATGCTGTCTGGAATCTGAGTTGTATAACATGATATTTTGAATTATGTCCAAGTTTCAACTGTGTTATCAAGAAATGTCAAGTTTGCTCAGTGATAGCTACATCCAGATTTCCTGAAGTGTAATGGTGGAAATAGGCAGATCTTTCTTTCTGTGGAAACTTCTTGAGAAGTAATGAATCCTTAGCAGGCACAGACTGCTTAAATATCTGGATTTTTAGTGGATAATATCAGATCTTCCAGGTATAACAGGCACTAACTACAACTTGCACACAGGAGTGCAATATGTACTTTAACCAGTGCCTGTGAAGTCATCTGGAATATCTTCACTCTCTTCTATGGCTGAGACCTTAAGCTGCTCCTCACTTTTTATTGTGCTTTGTGCTTTACTGGGGATTTTTTGTACATACCTTTCCCACCAAGGTCAATTTTTACTGTTAATGGTACTGTGCCTCTAAAACAAGATGTTGGAAGTACAAGCTGTATTTTTTCCTGCCTGTGCACCACCAGTATAATGGACTTAAATTCTTCTTCAAAGTTGTATTAATGCTAGCACCAATAAGACCTTAAAAGGTTCAGCTTTATCTTTCCATATCAGGTGAAATGTGAATGCTCAGTTCCAAAAATTGCAATATTCCTGTGTCAGTTCATGGGAGGAAAATAACACTGAATAAACCCAAGACTTGCTTTCTTGGAAGTGCATAAGTATCTTTTTTGCTGCTTTGGTTTTTGTTTTGTTTTTTCTTTCCTCCATTCTCCACTTGTCTGCAAAAGTGAAGCTCCTGTAATTAAAGACTGTATCCCTGTGTAGTGCCCATGGTTTGACAGCCACATGCTATTTTTAGCTGGTTGTTTAGGATAACCTTCCATGGCTGCTGACTCAGTGGCAGTGAGTACCAGCTGGTTAGTGCATCTTCTGACAGAACCTTGCTGTGAGTATTCTTTTTTTAAATTGTTTTCCTTTCACAAAAATGTGTTTTTATTAGTGTAAGAATTCCGTTGTGTAAATATATTGTCCTAGGTAAAAATTGTCTATTACAGTCTTTTTACTATGTATCTAATAATTAAAGAAGAGTTGGCTTCTGCAAAGGAATACAGATAGCTGCTCTGTTCCCCACAAAAAAACCCCAAGACCCAGAACCAAAAAACTAACCAAATGAAAGTCTCAAAAAATACATTGATTCATAACATATTTTTAACCGGCCTCCAAAGTGATGGCGGCAGAGTGATTTGTATGTTGGCTAATTGATTGCACAGCCTTTGATTGATGGAATGCAATTTGGTTGAGCATCAGCTGCAATTGTAAGCTGTAGGACCATGGCTGAAATGATTCATGCGCAGCAGCAGGAGCTCCAGACTGAATTAGAGGCTTGTATTGACTGTGGCGCTGTGCATTATTTAAAGAATTGGTTCTGTGCCATTGAGTGTCTGAAGCAATTAACTGCTTCTCTCTGCTGAACAATCACTTCCTTTTTTTGTGAGTTCCTACATATCAATAGTGACTTTTAAGATAGTTTCTTTATTTTGGAGGCAAGACAAATAGAAACCAGTCTTGCTGATTTTTTTTTTTTTTAAATTCTCATTCTTGTGGTTTTTCTCCCCCTTCATATAAAGTAAAGATGTGTTGAGAGTACTTTAGATTTTCAATATTTTTGTATTCTTATAGGAAATAATGGAAGAGATCTGGAAGGGAATGAAATAATATTTATGTTTAATTTGTTTTCCAGCCACCACACAGGGTTCAGTAATCTATAAACTGGGTTGGACTGAATGCAGTGGTATTGATTGGAAAAAAAACAAAGGGGGGGGGGGCAAGCCAGACCATACTCCTGCTGTTAGCCTGGGGCTTTAGGCCTTTCCAGTCTAAAACTGTGTTGTGCTTGGTTTCAGCAGTAGTCTAAGGAACCAGTTTCTAGCTGGAGAGGAGCTGTCATTCTTCCAAAGTGATATCAGTCCAAGCCCAGCCTGGGTTCCTGCAGCACAGTGCTGGTTGGCAGAGCCCTGGTGCAGGGGACAGCAGATTTGAGGACCCTCTGCCAAAATATCTAAGAGCCATGTGGCCCCCATGGTCTTGTCCAAGTGTTCCTTCCAAAGAAGGTTTGCTGGCACAGTGTGGGAGTGTCAGAATCTCAGTCCATTGGATCTGGCCAGCGAAGCTTGTTGCAGCTCAGTAATGAAAGCTGCTTTCCTCCAGTGACGTTGCTGCCTCATTTCTTCTTAGGTTAATGAGCTTGTAGTTTTTAATCAGACATAAATGGCGGCTGTCAGGTCATGTTCGGTTTTATCTTTTCATACTGCTGGTGTGCTTCCAAAAGTAGAAAAAAAGGATAATTTACTTCTAAAGTTGGGCAGCAGGGTGGGCAAAAATGTATACCCAGAACTATTGGTGTGGGTCCAGCCTTGTGTTTTGGTTTTTCTCTGGGAAGGCATCCAGAAGTACAGGTCGGTAATTCAAGACTGTTTTATGTGGGCAGCACAAGAAGTTTCAAGAGCTGTTGAAAACTGCTTGACTGAAAGATGGTGTTCAGAATGTTCAGAAATTAACACATCCGCCTCTGTTCCTCTGTTGATTTTTATGAGATTCTTACACGTTGTTTTTCAAGATAACCTGGCTAGCCCTTCCTTCAAGGGAGGAAAACTTGTAAGGCAAGACAGCAGGGGTGGCTTTTGGGAAGAGTGAAGAGGTAGGTTGAGGCGGGGTGGAAGGAATTGAGGGGTGGTGAACTGAGAAGGTGGTTTTGGAAGAGAGGGTGAGTCAGTGATGCTGTGTTAGCAAAACTACTGAAAATTACATATGGCATCTCAAGACACACACTGCTGTGATCCAGCTGTGTGGAGAACAAACACCATGTAGGTGCCAGCAAGCTGGGGTTATGGTGTACAGCATCCAAGTCTGTCCTGAAATGTTAATACTTCAAAGAGTTTTGTTTTCCAGGGGGACTGAGACTCTTTGGGGCTGTATTTGCAGCAAGTCTGAAGTGAGAGAGATGGTGGAATTGCAGGGAGATAACTGAGAAATGGAGTTTTGTTTTTCAGGCTGGCAGCCTCGGTGGTTCCTTCTCTGTGGTGGCATCCTGTCCTATTATGACTCTCAGGAAGATGCCTGGAAGGGATGTAAGGGAAGCATCCAAATGGCTGTTTGTGAAATTCAAGGTAACTAGGATACAGTAACACTTAGCTGCATGAAGTTTGTCCAATAATGTTGCATTCAAGATGAGATTTCAGGTGACAAGAGCTTCATTTCTCTGGTATGTATTTGCAGTAATTTGATGTATATGTGGTTTTTATACAATAGTATTTTTAAAATGTTGAGAGAACTGCAACCCTCTATTCTCATGGATATTCTATGTGCAGGTGGGTCACTGTTTTTCATGGGTTGTGGTGGAACATTGCACAGCTTCAAATGACTCCTCATAAGAACAGAGCTGAAGCTAGAAACATGTATAATAAACTTCAGTACTAGGTCTGCTCAGTCATATTGCCACATTTTTGAGGTTCAGTTAACAGCTGGAAGCTTGAAAGAGAGACTTTCCAGAAAAGGATGCCCTTTCCATAATGACTCTCAGATTATACTGGTCACAAAGCTGTCTTTCATAGCTGTACACATGTGTGTCCTGTCCATTCCCTAGCTCAGAAGAGAAGTCATAAAATGGCAGTGGGGGAAGTTGGGACCATAGATTCCTCCTCTTTCATTACTGTTTGACTTGCCACCTAACACATCTGTTGGAATGTTTGGTTGGGCTGGGAAGAGCCAGGAGGCTGGTCTGAAATCTGTTGCTTTCAGTTCATCCTGCAGATAACACACGAATGGACCTGATTATCCCAGGGGAGCAGTACTTCTATCTGAAGGCAAGAAATGCAGTTGAAAGGCAAAAGTGGCTGGTTGCCCTAGGAACTGCCAAAGCCTGTCTGACTGACAGCAGGACACAGAAGGAAAAAGGTAAGAACACCCTTTTGCTGGCACAGAATATTTGCTTTATATTTCCCCATGCTTTCCCTAGTGCGTGTACATACATCTTCAGTGTCCAGCCTGTGCCTCAGGTCTTTGGTGCTGCTAAAAGCTAAGACATGTGGGAATATTAACTAGAAATCTCAGGTATTAATACTCAGGGCAGGGATTTGAAAACTTTACTTTTTCCTTAAAATACACTATATAAAAATAATTTGAAAACCATGTGCTGATGGGTTCTGTAAGTCCAGTGAGTAAATAGGCCCTGGCTAGAGGTCACTGTGATGCAGTACACAGTGTACAAGAATGTAAGACCCCCACCTTGTCCAGCTGTGTAAATATGATGACCCAGCCGCTCACACCAGTGTTTCTTCAGCTTTGGAGTTCCTCACACCCTTTCCTTCTGTGTTCCAATTGGGCTGTCTTCTGCACTTTGAGAATGCCTCAGCAGTTAAGAGGTTTGCACTGGGTTCCAAAACTATTAGTATGCAGATCCTTAAATCTGATCATGGTAAGGCTATGAAAATTAATTCACTTACCACTTTGCTTTCACCAGCAATCTTGCTTCTCCCTCCCCCAGTGAAAACCCCTCTTGCTTACAAGTGTGGCATTAGTCACAGAACATTGTGAGGCCTTATGCCTTCTTAACTTCGTGTAACCTCAGCACAGTGACTATACAAAAGATGGAAAACCAGCAAATTATTAATGTCCTGGGCAAATGCAGGGGTGGTGAGCACTCCTTTCCCTGAGGTGAGGATTTGCTTCTCCTCATAGCCTTATGTGTGTTATCACCAGGCTTTGCATTTGCTGGTTCAAGCTGAGTCAGAACTGAGCAGAAGATTCTATTGTAGAGTCCTTCATTAGGTGGGATTCTGATGTGCAGTGCTATGATTCAGGGACTCTAATATCAGAAACATTGCTTCTGAAAAATCTCAGAATGACTGTTAATCTTATCTGGATTAGTCTTCTCAGTTCTGTACTCTGTTTCTCAGTATAAGAAACATATGGACACACTGGAGTGAGTCCAGCAAAGGGCTGATAAGATGATTAAAGGAAATATCTAGTGAGAGCATAAAAAAGATGAAGCCAGAGTCTTCACAGTGAATGAACAAGAGAAAATATGCATGAATTTTGATACAAACCACTCAGTTGAAACATAAGCAAAAATGTTTATGTTGTGAAGAGGAGGGAGTGCTGAAAGGCTGCACAGAAGAGGTTGTGTAGTCTCCATCCTTGGCATTGTTCAAAACCTTACTAGACCTGAGTAATTTGTTCTGACTGTCCTTGAACAGGGGAGTAGGACTAGCTGATAACCAAAGGTATCTTCTAACCTCACCCATCCTGTGATTCAAGGATATCTATATTAAATTAATCTCTTTCTGTTGGACAGAATGCATCTTTTCTAGGTGTTTTCTACTAGAACCCTATCTAAACAATGCTATTGCTTGCACCTTAAACTACTTTGTGAAAACAAAGAATGTTATATGTAGGGCTTTTGTCCTATTTAAAAGGCCTGCTAAGACCAAATGTTGTGTACTTGCCTTGTATTGGATACAGTAAATTTAACTTTTCTTTTGTTTAACTTTTAGAGTTCACTGAAAACACAGAAGCCTTGAAGACTAAAATGTCTGAACTCAGACTGTACTGTAACCTCCTTGTTCAGCAAGTGCATAAAACAAAGGAAGCCAGCATTTCTGGTGTGTCAGAACCAGAGGTACAGCTCTATTTTTGCTAGAGACCACATCTGTAAAGTCTTGGGCACATGAGCTTTCCTGGGTAGCCAATGTAGTTTTCACTCAATTGCTTAATGTTGCAGCCTCTGTCCGCAGAGAGGTAAATAAAGTGCTCACAAAGCAGTTATTGTTTAAATGAAGTATTACTATATTGTTGCAAATGACTTGCCCTTTGTTGGGCTAGCAAGTAGTGAGATGGTGCCTGTGATCTAGGCAGTAACACCTCTGTAGGTGATCATGTGTTTACAGTGGATCAAAAAAAGCAAAAGATCTTTTATAAAGAGATAATTTGCACAAAACACACATTTTTCTGCCTGAGTCATTAATATCCCGCTCAGCAAAACACATCCAAAACCATTAAAAGGTCAAGAGATGTTGCAGACCACAAAAAAAGGCCAAAAGTGATATAAAGAACTGGCTTGGTTAGCCTCACTTAAGTTAAAGTTTCAAGCCTTGGAAATCTTTCTGATCAAAGAAGCCTTATTTAAGAGGGATCTCCTAAAGGCAGTGATCAGCCCCTTGCTTTGAGAAAGAAATGTATGAAGATGCATTTCCCTTGCTAGAGAAGCTGGTGTGGAGTTGCAGAATGCCTCCCACTGGAGAGATGGGTCCTCAGGTGCAGAATGAGCAGGCAGAACAGTTGAAGGCTGACCAGAGATGGTTTGTATGCTCAAACCATCTCTGTAAAGACACCTGGCAGACTGTTTAAGGTGAATTAAAAGATATGAATTAGAAACATGGTGTGATGTACAAATGACTAAAAGGCACTGTTAGAACTTGCAGCTCACAGGTGTTGACCTATAATGTGGTGTTTATCCTGCTCATATTTCATGCATCTGGGGAAAGACTCTTTTCCTGATCTTACTGGCATTTAACTGCAAAGATTTATTGCTAAAAGCATTTCAGCAACAATAACTCACTTTGCAAAGATGAAGAGGCAATGTGATACCTCATTCTGTATTTTTGTCATTTGCAGTAATTTTTTGTTCATGGGGTTTTTGAAATGATTATCTGCAGATCATTCTGCATCTATTTAATTTACTTACTTTTCATATCTCCTGTCAGTGGTGTTTCCTGGAATGCCATTGTTGAATACATTCAGGCATAGTATTTCATGCACTTCTAAAACCAATAAGATAAGTAACTAAGAGGCATTGATTTCAAAGCACAAGCATACTAAGCTTCTTGTACTGAGAGGCTGACAATAGTGGTAATACTGCAAGGGGACATAGCCACAGTAATATGTGATGCTAGCTCTGAGCAGCTGACACATTGAATTTTAATTCATGTTAACCAGAAATCACAACTGTAGCAGCTGTGGGCTTTGCAGACATTAGTCCAAATTGCTCATCTGTGGTGAGTCCATTTCTTCCAGTTGATTTCTTCCCACAGAGTGAGATTGATATGGGAGCTCTGTTGAAATCAACTTGTGACACTTTCCTGAAGACTCTTGAAGAATGTATGCAGATTGCAAATACTGCCTTCACTTCTGAGTTACTGCATCAGACCCCACCTGGATCCCCAAATTTAGCAGTTCTCAGAACAAGCAAGGTAAAGGCCAGTATCTTCTTTTCTCAGCTTCGGTAGGGATGCTAATGGGTCCTTTTGTCAAAAGTAGGATTTGTAGAAGTAGGGAATGTCTTTTTACCCATATCATAGCTACTGGTCCCACACTGGACATGCTCTGCTATTTCTTGTGGTTTGCAAGTGAGGTAGGGCCATTTTTTTAATAAGCAGTGACCAATCTCTTAACTTTTAATGACAGGTGGAAGTTATTAAATATTAACTTTCAAGGCCTGAAAGTTACACACTGGTGTTTCACAGAAAGTAATACAATGGTGTTTCAAAATACCTTGGCTTTACAGCAAGTTTGTCCATGTGGGAACTCTCAGCAATTATTGCTCTGTTAAACTACAGCAGTGTTGGATGTGTGCTAATATGCCAGTGGGAGGTAATGAGTTTAGCTTTTTAATGAGAAGGGCACTTTCTTGAATCATGGATCCATAAGTACATGTAGAAAACTGGAGCATCTCTGGCAAGCAGAAAGGTCTATGTAGGAAGGTGGATGCATAACTGCATCTGAGAAATGGGATTGCTTCACCATACCTAATGTCTAGCCTCATGTTTCTTCTTTTTTATTCAGAACTTTTTTATTAAGTGCAGAACACATTGCAAAGGGAACTCACTGCTTTATCTCCATATGCTGTGTGGTGTCTCACTTGACACTTGCTAACTAGCTTCTGAAAGAAATCTTCTGATTTTATTTCTTCTCCTTTTTCTTTTTTTTCTTTACAATATTGTAATGGTGTAATAATGTAGCACCATTTTCACATGTACTGCATCCAGGCCAGATAATTAGGGAGGGGTTTTTTGCTGACTCAACTTGTGTTTAAAAAAAATGTGAAATTTGAGAAGCATGATACAGTCTTACTTGCTTTAAACAATATTCTCTCCCCTCCATATCTTGCAGGTAAAGCACTCTGTCATGTCCAGTCACACCTCAACAGAAAGGTATAATAGAAGTCTTTACTGTCAGTCTCTTTCTAATCTGTGCTTGGTTGTTTTTTCCCTACTGCTACTCTGCTCTTACTGGATGCAGGCAGAACTTTATCACTCTGAGCTGCCTTCTTGGAAGCAGATGGAATGAAAGGGCTCTGGGTCATCCCATTTCATGTCTCTTCTGTATCAGTCCTCTCCGTTCCATTTTTCTCTGCAGTCCACTTGGTGTTGTACTGCTCAATCACCAGCCAGCTCTCTCCCGCTTCAGTGCTTCCTGCATTTTAGGTTCCACTCCATAAGCCCATAAAAATCATTGATGGTGAGCAGACTGATTCCTGAAGTAGGTGGCAAGGATGTATATTTTCAAGTACTAGTGGGGGGATATTGTAGAAGTTACAGTACCTGCCTGCAATTTTATTTTCTGTAATTGTATTTTTTTGATTATGTACCTTTTTAATAAAGATCACTGTAAATATACTTGAACTCTGAAAGCTGAGGTTGAGTCTTTAATCCTCTTTGCTGCAAAAAGCTGCCTCATTCTTGTTATTATTTTAGGCAAGTTCTTTGCTCAGAGCAGCCTGTGACAGCCTATAGCTTCTGTCAACTATTTTGCTCTTGTTGTTTGTGTGATCACAGGAAGAAGCTTACCAAGCACTGCTTTATGTATTAAATATTATTCTTTCCCTTTCTTCAGGCAGGTGGAATTGAGCCCCTGTGAAAACGGCTGTGTAAAAGCAGAAATTAACCATCAAGAGCAAGCAGTTATTAAAAGTATGGAATGTTTAAACTTGGAAACCAACGAGGGGACTGGTGATGTTTATGTTGAAGATCATGTAGCAGAGGATTTGGCAGGTATGTATATGCAGTCTTTTGTCCAGGATGATTATTCTGTAGGTGTAAATTAAGGAAGGTGTAGGCACCTTGTGAGATTCCTGACTCTCAGGAGAGGGAATATCAGTTTTTTAGTCTGATACTGCCCCTTGCAAGTTTTCTCAGCATAGCTTCTGCTGCCTTTGTTGAGGGCTAACTTGGGACTGAATGGAGAAGGAAATTAAAAATTTGTTTTTGGACAAGTTGGGGCCCTCCAGGTGCAGATTGATGTGTGTAACAAAACAAGCTGGCAGAGCTTGGACTCTCTGTACACTGTAGGCAGGCACATTATTCCCTGCTAGTATGTGGAAGCTTTGTGTGCATAAGGGCTTGAACTTTTAGTCACTCTTGATTGCTCTGACAAATGTTTACAGAAAATTAACCCTTTTTCTACAACTAAGAGTATCCTAGAAAGCATCTTATTTCTTCCTTTATCATAGCAATAGTGTGAACTTAGATTTGTATGTGACTTCAGTGAAATAGTGTTGAACTAATTCAGTATAAAATTCCTTCCAGTGTGGTTATATTGTTAAGGGCTGCTAAACTTAATTTGGATAATTATTCATGTAACATGATTTTTGCACATCCTGTTGAATGGACTGTACCGTTCTTGAACAGTGGCTGTCTCTGCCTGGCTGTTATTCCAAAACATAAATATGCAGTCAGTGACAAATGTTCCAAAACATAATATGCAGCAGAAGCTTTTAAGTCCAAGTTAATGATGGAAGTGATTTTGCCCTTACGGGTTCCATTTGGAGTTTTTCCCATTTTTGGGGTTGGTACTATGTAACATGGCACATCCCTGCAGAATAACACACACAGGACACCATTTAGCATAGTATCAATAAAATGGCACTAAAGCAAAGACATCAAACTAATTCAAGGTGTTGGTGTCATTTAGCTACTGTGATTCCTGTGCACAAAAGAGAAAAGGCTACCCCCTGTTGGGTACACATATTTGAGCTGCAGAGTTTTGTTGTCAATATGGGGTGGAGTTGGGATGTGCAGGGCCATCCATAGAGGGTGGGCTGACCCAGCCAGCCCATGGGCTTTGTCTCGCTGATGGCTGTAGCTGGGTGCTCCCCCTGACCCCAAGAGCTCTGCCCTGTCTCAGATACTTTTCCTTCCCTTTCCCCTTTCTTAAGAAATCAGTCTTTAAAAGTGCTTGTGCACTAAAGTCCCATAGCAAATTTCTCTGTCGTTTAGGGCTTACAGTGTTTGAGTTTGAAAACAATTGAGTTTGAATTTCAGAGCACCCAGGGTTTTGCATAGAACTCCTGCAGGGTCACTGCAGACTTGGGCTGTTTTTCTATTCCCCAGCCTATGTGGCTTGGTGCAGGACAGATCAGTAGCATCACTCAAACCTCTGTCATTCTTCGGCAGAGACACTTTGCTTGTGAATGTCAGTGGTGTCTGAGGCCATTTTTATTGTGCCTTGAAGAGACTTGCTGGTCTGGTGTGAGGGGATTTCTTTTCACCCAGCACCAGGTTTGTTCAGTGGTTCTGCAACTAATAGGGATGGCTGTAAGCCTGCTTTCAGTTGTCACTTGGAGGAAGAGAGTTCCTTGCAGCTTGATCCTTTCAGCCAGAAGCTCAATTCCACTTCAGGTTTCTCTCTGATTCTCACTGACACTTGAAAGTATCCCTTTCCTGGAAAGACAGGTTCCCTGGGAAATCCTGGATGTTAGTTTGGCAGTCTGGCAGCAAGATGTGCTGTAGCTATAGCTTGTATGATGTAGATGCTGTGAATCATTTTTGCTTCTTTACTTGTTCTCTGAAGTTCTCCATGAGGTCAGAGGGTCTTACCACATATGGGATGTACATGAAAGATTTTGTCTTTCCTTTGTCTTCCTTGTGCTGTATGTGAAACAGATGTACTTGGCCCCAAAGAGGAAATAAAATAGACCACAGTGGGGAAGATGTACCTGGACCTTTTCTGGGAAACTTCAGAGATATTTATAGAAATCACATAGAACATAGCAGCCTTTGATAACATACAAGTGTCCATCTAAGCAGCCAGTTTGCTTACCTATCAGAAGGAGTAAACATGTTGCTATTATTCTTTTGCTTTTGAAAATGCACTGTGGCACTTCAACAATAGTGGGAAAGTTACAGCCATGTGAGAAGTAATCTTCCTTTCAAGGAGATGAGTCAGCTCCCTGCTGTACCAAATTGCTTCTTCAGTGCTATTCTTTCTCACAAGACTGTTCTTGCTGATGTTGTGTGGGCTCACCTGTATTGTAGCCTGGTCTTTGGTCTGTCTAATAAAATGAAATGGGGGGTGACTGATTGAAATGTGGTCTCAGCACCTACCAAACCTGCAGTGAGAGTAGTGGTGCTGGCAGGGATGCTTTTAAACTTGCATTAGCCACATATCCAAGTACTTTCCTTCAAATAGAAAGGCACATTGATGAAAAGGAATAACAATATGTGTATGTAACTTTTTTCTTTTTTTTTTTGTTTTTCTTTTGTTTCCTGTAAATGTTAGGCATTAAAGACGATGGAGAGGACAAGTTGCAAGCTGTAGAAAGCTGTGGTGCCCACAAGTTGCTGCAGTCAGAAACAAATTCTTTAGGTGGATTGATTTTGTGTGAGGAAGAAGGAAATGAAAAGGATTCTCCTACCTTCTTCAGTGTCATGAGCAATAGGTAATACAGATTTCAATTAAAAGGATTATTGCAACTTAATGTTAAGCCTTTAATTGACTTATTTTTAATTCTTTTCTGTCTGTAAAGCTGTTTTTACTGAGATGATTTAACAAGACTGCCTACAGCACAATAATTGGAAGAAGATATCTTTTGTGAAATTAGCTGTACAGAGTGAAGTGGGAAGTTTTTCCTTGTTTGTGATTGCAGTCCTTGCTTGCACACCACCCAATGTGTGTTCTCTGCAGTCAGTTACTTTAACACAGTAAAACAAAAGCCATGTTGTTGGTTTCATGTCTATAAATTTTACTTCTATGCAAATGACTTGGACAGGAAATCTAGTTTTGCTTTTCAAGTTACATAAAAAGAATTGTTAAGGTAACAATATTTTCTGTTTGTCCTGGACACCAGGTTCAGTGATATTGAGCTTCGGGAGGAGGAAGGCATACCAACAGAGGAGTTCCTGGAGTCGTGTTATGCAATTGTGCCTGTTCTGGGTAAGCAGCTTCTTTTCTTCTGACTCCTTCTGACTGCTGCTAGCAGCAAGCAAAGGTGGAGCAGTAGGGTTGGAAAACTTGTTTCTTCACTAAAGTGATATAGTAGAACCGGTATCGGCAGAATCAGTGTGACTGATTCTGAGAACATGTTTCTTACCCCCTTGCTTTAAAGAGGATCCACTCTCATTTGGATGGGACCCATATATAAGCTGTTTGGCAATCTAGGTGTCTGTATGGAACAGCAATTTCTCCCCCTCTAAAAAGCAGCATAGGTGCCTTACAGTGTATTACAGCTGATAGCACACCATCAGCTGTACTCTATTGATTTTTCCAAAGACTTTGATCTTCACCTAGCACAGCCCCCACCAGCTTGACCCCTGCATGTAGTGGATGTGGTGGCCCTGTGAGCATGCAGCCTTTTGAAGATTTCTGAACTGTAGGTCAGAAACTTGTAGCAACTGGGATGGATTGGTTCTATACCAGAGAAAAATATCAGTTTGTCGTTCATTTAATATTTTCCTGACACTTAGAAAGATTGTTAAATGAGTAAATGAATTTTTACTGAAACATGAGAACTGGGAAAAGACGCAATTTTAAAGTACTGTGCTTTTTTTTTTCCCTAGATAAGCTGGGACCAACTGTTTTTGCTCCAGTTAAAATGGATTTTGTAGGCAACATCAAGGTAACAACTTACTTCTAGCACTGATTTTCAGTTTTTAAACAGAATATCTACTTTAGACACTAGAGCTCAAGAATTTTTGTGGTAGGAGTCAATACTGGAAGGTTATTTAATATTTGATAATGTTGCCATCTGTCAGACTGAAGCACTGAAATGCCCCTAATTCTGTTCTGACAGTACATGCTGCGTTTAATAAATCCAGTTGTGGGCAAACTTATAAAATACTTGATTGACTGCCAAGTAAAACATCTGTTACACCTAGTGAATATGACTGATCCTGAACTGTATGGGTTATAAGTCATGATGTGATGTTAGCAATGTTGACTTTAACCTGTAAAACAAATGGAGGGGGTGGGGGAAAAACTTTGTTCAGTCACGTAGGAGGAATTTAATACTTCAAGAAGCAGTTTCTTAGCAGACTGGGGCAGACCATGCAGGCTTGGTTCTTTTTCTGGAAACTCTTCCAGCTTCAAGTACCTTCTGAACAGCCTTCAAGAACCTTTGAAATACTGGTTATGAGACAAAATGTGTTCATAATGAGACTTTTCATAGCATTTTCTTTCAAGAGAAAAAAACAACAATAAAAGCAAAACATGTCTTCTGGGTGTATACTATGGAATATTGTATACAGTCAGATTTGTTTGGACCTTATAGAAGGTAGTCACTGAAGACTGAAGGAAGACTGAAAATAGTAAGAGAAAATAATGCTATTTAAAAACCTAAAACATAGAATATTTAATTGGCAAGTGATAGACAGTTACTCTTTTAATGTAGAAGAAAAATCTGTTTTTCTGCCCCTTATATATTATCTCTTTTGTGTGAGGAGTTGTGTATAGAAACTTGGGAATAAATTGAAACCATAGGCATGCTAAGTGTAATATTGAGAGTTTGCAGTGGTCAGAAGGTAAATTTTGCTTGTAGTTGAAGCTCTGGGAAAATGGGACTTGCTTGAAGAATTTGAATTAACTCCTTTCCTCCAGTGGGGAGGATGTCATGGGAACCTCAAGCATTTTGTTGGACAGAAGTGGTAGGTAATGTAAATTTTTGGCTGAGATGTTTTGTTTTGGTTGTGTCAGCCAGATGTGTCTGGGGTGTGCCCTGGAATGGCATGTCCATGTCAGAGCAGCCATGCCATGGGAAATAGTGGGTGACATCCTTGGGAATCTGTAGTATCTCTTAGCAGGGAAGAGTCCTGTTAAATGGGTAGTGTATTTGTAGGCCCCTGTTGGGTCTTAAAAGGCATAAAGCTTTGCCCATTCTATTCTTTCCAGAAAATAAACCAGAAATTTATAACCAACAAAGAAGAGTTTGATACCCTTCAGAAGATTGTGCTCCATGAAGTGAACGCAGGTGTAGCACAAGTTAGAAACTCTGCTACAGAGGCTCTCCTGTGGCTGAAAAGGTAATGGCTTTCTGTCTGCCTTCACTGTGAGCTGCTGGGGCCTTTCACCAGTGCAGACTTGTGTACATGGAGCAGGCTGGTTACTTCCCACAGCCTCCATCAATCCAAACTTCTTCAAGAAGTCAGCCTCAAAATTAATGCTGTCTGTGGTCGTACCACTGCAACTTTGCCGAAAGCTTGAAAAAAACATTGCAGGCGAACTTTTTCCTGTAAAAGTGAAGTTACAGTGAATGACTGACTGATCCTACTTGGCTAGGGCATCAAGCAGATGATTTCAAGCTGCAGCAGAAATGTTTAGCAAAGTGTATTTCCCTTTCACTGGGAGAGAGGCTGGAGGAGGTGGCTGCGATTTTGTTCAGATTGGAATTGTCTCCTTAATTCTGAGTTTTATTGCACTTCGGGGTTGTATTCCAACTTTGGGGGCTTTGTTATACTTTGGGTTACTTTCTTATAAATATGGTTTCCTTTTATTTCATGTGCTCATCCTGGCAGAGGTTTAAAGTTCTTGAAAGGGTTTTTGACAGAAGTGAAGAATGGGGAAAAGAACATCCAAACAGCTCTGAGTAAGTACTAATTGCTTTGTTCTTAATGTGCTTCTAAATTTACATACTTGGCTACTTTCCTTCTTGTTTAGAACTGTGTCTTCTTCAGTGACTGATGATGCAATGATTTCTAAGACATAACAATTTTGAAAACTTGAATTTTTTAAAATGGCTGCCTTGAGATGGGTTACTAGATAACTGGTAAATGTTGATTCATTAGCAAATAGATTCCTTTAATTGGCATACTTTTGGCAGAAGAGACAGTCATATCTTAGGGAGACAAGTGCTTTGACTCATTCAAATTTCTCTGCTGGCTTGTAGTGGGAGCACTCCCAAATGTATAATTGCTGTTTTGTTAGTTTTCTAATTCCTCGTGTGATTTGCCATCATTCTTTGAAATCACCTTTTTTTCAATATAGCTGTGAATTGCCTGCATCAATTAGAAGGGATGTTGTAACAAAGAAAAAGGATTTTTTCCAAGTACACCATTTCTGACACTTTCTTTGTCAGGCTACTGGCCATAGCAAGTACAACAACCCCCGTTAAACTTGACTTGGTTACTCCTGGGCAAGACCCTCTCTATATGCATGCAGTATAATGTGATAATCCTTTAAATCAACTTTGAAACAGCTTTTTTTTTTAAGCTTTTTATTTTATCCTCTTTTACACAGCACAGCAGTTGCCTTATAGGATTAGTAAAAAGAACTACTACACTGAAGTATGTAGCAGCTCTTGGAAGTGAGGCTGTATATACATTGCTACCAGATATGGGTGTTAAACACCATAGAAAGTGTTTAGGCACTTATTTGAGCTTCTGAGTCTGGAGGCTTAAGCCTGAACTACTCCTTGAATTGCTCTGTGTCTGCAGCAGAGTCATGCTGCTGTTTTTTTCTACTTTTTCATTCCCTTTCTTCCTGTGAAAAGCACTTCTACATCTGTACCACCACTGCAGCTTTGGTTTACTGTTGGAGTTTCACTCCATACAGTATTTTTTTAGACTTTACATTAGCCTTCCTGTCTGTTAGAGCACTTACTTTCTGTGGGTGAGTTGAAGGAGTTTTGACAGTGGAGCTGAGACTCCAGTGCAAAAATCCCAAATCTGTCATCTCCTTTCAGTCATAACTTTAGAACTCATAAACAGTCATCATTTACGTTGAGTGGCAAGAGTAAACCCTTGAGTAGTAATTTCTAAGCTCCAAGTTCTCTTTGTGATGCAAACTTAAAACTGTGACACATCTATCTCTTGATTATTTTTTTTTTTTCCTTTTAAGACAATGCTTATGGAAAGACATTAAGGCAGCACCATGGTTGGGTTGTCCGCGGGGTCTTTGCAGTAAGTATTTATCTTGGCTGCTGATAGAGCTGGGAGTCTTGTTCATGTGATGTTATGTTGTGTGTAAGTCATAAACTGTGTTAAAATTCTGAGTATTAAAATTAATAGATTCCTTTCCCAGACCTTACTTTCAAAGTGAGGATTGTGGTTTTCACTTGTGTGTTTAGTACTGGATTGTGTGTTTAGTACTGGACTTTCAGGGTGGAGCCTGCTTTCTAGAGATGAAACAGACAGATTGCACTTGCATGCACAGTTTTTTAATTATGTGCTTTTGAGCAGTCTTGCAGGGCTATTAAATGAAGAAGAGAGGATGTGAGGTTGCTTTTTTGAAGATTGATCTCTCTTTGAATATGATGAGCACTCACACACAGTGTGTGTGGGGAATTGAAGTAGAATGTATTGGCTAGAAGAAATTTTTCATTCGGTCTGACTTGTGAGACAAGGTCTCCCCCTTGTGTCTGTCACTGGAAAATTATCACTGCAGTTACAAAAGGAAAAAAGAAAACCTCATCCAGGCAGTCATGACTTTGACTGAGAGAAGCAGAATTGTTGGAGAGAGCTTTCTAAAATAGCATGTTGAGGATTTGGTGATGGTGTGTAACACTGGGTTGGGAGCTCCCCTAACAAACTATACTTTATTTGAGGTTTGTATTCAGTTAATTTCTATGTGCTCAATTTATTTATACAAAATATGATACACCGACAGTTTCTAAAAGTTAGGTATTCTGAAGATATCTTAAACTGGGGATCTACACAAAAATAATAAAAAAGAAAAGTTAGTCTCCCTTCTAGTTAAAATTCTTGCTATATGCATGTACACATGATTAAATTGAAGCTATGAAGTCTAAGTGCAAAGAGGAAAGTCTTAGAAGTTTTTCATGGCTTTAGGTGTATTTCTTTCCCCATTCTCTGTTGCAAATCTAAAAGCTTTGTTTCTTCTCCCAGTTAGCTTTAAGGGCAGCTCCAACGTATGAAGATTTTGTGGCAGCTCTGTCTGTAGATGAGTGTGATCCTCAGGAAGAAACATTTTACAAAGGAATGCAGAGGGACCTCAACATTTACTTACCAGCCATGGAAAAGCAGCTAAATATCTTGGACACTCTTTATGAAGTACATGGTTTGGAGTCAGATGAGGTGGTATGACTACAGCAAGATCACATCTTAAAAATTCAGGGACTGTGTCTGTTAACAAAGATTTCTTCCATTTTGGTTTTTGGACATTGTTTCTGTTCATTGTGTCTTTTCAGGTGGGAAGGGTGTTGAGTGTTTTGGGGGAAGGGTATGTGTGATTTTTATCTTTTCATTACGCTTGTGTTGCATTTAAATGCAGAGGTACTGTCTTTCTTTGGATCATAACTATGTCCATGATGAATGTTTTTGACTGTTTCTCTTCTGCCTGTGCACCTCGTCTTCACCTCATAAAAGTAACAGAGCAGAATCTGGCCTTTGCTGCCGTACCTGAGGAGAGACCTGCTCATGCAGCACAACTGTTGGGTCACCAACATGGCACCCAGGCAGGTGCTGCTGCCTCTGACTCTCCCATTCCCTGTGCCCACTCCCTGCCATAATGTAGGAGGATAGTGAGAGCTATTGTTATCCCAGCAGCAGAAGAGAAGGACAGCTAAACACCACCTTGTAATGTGGTGAATTTGTCCCTCAATTTGGGTTGAAGCTCTTTAATGCAAATAATATATTTGCATGACATAAATATTTATTAAATTAAATAAACATTTTAATCCAAATATTACAGAGATCTTCACCACAGGTGTATGTGGCTAGTGGTCTGAGTGGCCCCAAGGTCTAGACTTTGAAACAGGATGTTGTGTTTCCTGACCAGCTCCCAGTACATGCTATGGCTTCCCTGCCAGCTCCTACTAGTGGGCCACAAATTTGCAGGCACAGACTCAGCCCAGCAAATTTCAACAGTACTTTGCACAAGCATTTGAAGATCACATCCATCATCCTGGCTTATTAAGGTTTAGGAGGGTTTTTCTGTTTTAGGTTTTTGGGTTTTCTTCAATCAAATTCATGCAAAACTGTAATGGTTGCTTTTAAGTTGAGTGCAGCTAGCAGTTTGAAAAGCAGATATCATTAACTTCATAGACTGTCATATGGGCAGAAACTTCATGAAAGTGGACATGAAATGAGTAAAGTATAGGGGAAGCTGAAATTTATGATGGAGCTATTAAACATGGGACCAATTACAAGTCTAGAATTTTGAAATTATTTAGAAGTGACTAGAAATTAAGAAATATTTCCCGTTTCCCATTTTGCTGACACAGATAAAAACATGTTCCTTAGCATTGCTGCTATTAAAAATAATGAAGAAGTCCTTTTAGTTAGTGATATGGTTAGGGACAAAATTCCTAGTTGTGTTGATGACCAACCAAAAGGCTGTCTGTGAATTACTGACTCCAGTTCAAGGCATAAGCAGGTCTCTCTGTGTAGACCTAGAGCTTCAGATGGCTTAGTACAAAGAGCTAAGTTTAACTCATCTGCAGGAGGGGAGAAGACTGTGTTAGTGAAGTACTTAGAATTAGTAAGTTTTCATAAATACAGAAGGCAGTGTTGCCAAACTCACAGAAGCAGTGCTGGCTTTTCCTAGGCTAAAACCAGTGTTGTTAGTAACATGAATGTACTGCAGACCTGCTGCCCTGCATTGCTCTGTGACAGGAGCCTCTGCACACTGAATACTTGATCCTTTCTTAAGAGCCTAGCATGGTGAGCTTTAAGAAAAGCATATAATACTTGAAGAAAATGCCAACATCAAACTTACTGTATAAAGAAAGATACCAGGGCTCTAATTAGATGCTCATAGAGTCATAGAATATGCTGTGTTGGAAGAGACCCAAGGGATCAGGACCATCAAGCCCAACTCCTGGCCCTGCACAGGACAGCCCTAGAATCCCACCATGTACCTGAGAGCAATGTCCAAAAGCTACTTGAACTCAGATGGGCTTGGTGCTGTGACCATTTCCCTGGGGATCCTGTTTCCGTGTCCCATCACCCTCTGGATGAAAAACTTTTATCTGGTATCCAACCTAAACCTCCCCTGACTCAGCTTCATGTAATTTCCTTGAATCCTGTCACTTCTCACGAGAGTGAAGAGATCAATGTCTGTTCCTCTGCTTTCCCTTGTGAGGAATGTTGAAGACCATAATGAGGTCTCCCCTCAGTCTCCTCTTCTCCAGGCTGAACAGGCCAAGTGACCTCCTCATAAGGCTTCCCCTCCAGACCCTTCACCATCCTCGTGGCCCTCCTTTGGACACTCTCTAATAGTTTAACATCTTTTTCATGTTTTGGTGCCCAAAACTGCCCCCAGCACTCGAGGTGAGGCTGCCCCAGAGCAGAGCAGGACAATCCCCTCCCTTGACTGGCTGGCGATGCTGTGCCTGATGCCCCCCAGGACAGCGTTGGCCCTCTTGGCTGCCAGGGCACTGCTGACTCATGTTCAACTTGCCATCAACCAGGATGCCCTGAGATCTCTGCAGTGCTGCTCTCCAGAATCTCATTCCTGTCTATGCACTCAATCAGGACTGTCCTGTCCCAGGTGCAGAACCTGGCGCCTGTCCTTGCTAAAATTCATGCATTTGGTGATTGCCTGTCTCTAGTTTGTCAGGGTCTCTCTGCAGGGCCTCCCTGCCTCAAGGGAATCCCAGTCTAGCTCCTCCCAGTTTGGTGGTGTTAGCAGACCTACTTAGCATCTCTTCCAGTCCCATGTCCAAATCATTTATGAAGATGTTGGAAAGCACAGGGCCAAGGATGGAGCCATGTGGAACTCCACTAGGGACAGGACACCATCCTGATGAGTCACTACAACCCTTCATGCCCAGCCCATGAGCCAGTTGCTCACTGATCATGTAACATGGTTATTGAGCTGTGTGCTGGACATCTTGTCCAGAAGGATACTGTGAGAGACAGTGCTGAAAGCTTTGCTGGAGTCCAAAAAGATTGCATCAGCTGGCTTTCCTAGATCCAACTAAGTGGGTTACCCTGTCATAGAAGGAAATCAGTTTCGACAAGCAGGACCTGCCTCTCATGAAGCTGTGCTGGCTGTGATCAGTGACTGTGTTCCCTTTCAGGTGTTTTTCAGTACCTCCCAGAATAATCATTTCCATGATTTTACCTGGCACTGAAGTGAGACTGATAGGCCTGTAGTTTCCAGGGTCCTTCTTTTTCCCCTACTTGAAAATGAGGACAATGCTTGCCAGCACCCAGTTAGCTGGGACCTCTCCAGATTCCCAAGAGACTGTTTAAATAGTGTGACTTCTTGCTCTGTCATCTTCTCTGAGTTTTACATATCTGTAGTTCCTAGGTACTCAAGAGGGATCAGAAAGAATAAAGTTTTAGTTTAGTGCATTTTATTAAATCAAGTAGTATATGTGTGAGTACAAAGTCAAAACTTTTGACCAAAGCTCTATTCAATTATTTCACTTCTCACTAAAACTGAATTGTTAAAATTGAAGCTTCAGTTCAGTGTCTGCTGCTTCTAAGCATGAATCCAAAGAAACCACCCTGTGGGAGAACAACCAACTTTCCAACCTGTATGGTTTCCTCACGGTCTTTTGGCTGTTCTTTGAGAAACTTCACTGTAGCAGTTTTTAGCGGAATGATCTGGAAAGATAATGGAGACCACATTTCCACAAAATATCAGCTAAGTTATGAGAAGACCAGGAAGAGATCCCTCTTTGCTAGAAATTAACCATCAGATCACAAAAAAAAATTGAATTCTTTTTTGCTCTAAGTTTTTCCAGTAGTAGGAAAATATATTCAGCTCAGAGTGTTTGGAGGTATTTTTGGAGTTTCTGTTTTGTTTTGGTTTGTTTTTTAACTAGCAGGAGAACCACTAGTTTGTTGGGTGTGCATCAGATGCAAAAATTGTTTCAAAAAGACAGGAGGAGGCTTTATTTTGTAGGCAAAGCTTCATTGGGCCACTAGCTCCAGTTACTACCATTCTTATTGTCCAACAAGCAGGGAGAGGGATCCACATTACCTATTCTCTAATCAGCATGGCATCCTGCCTCAGAGCAGGCTTTCTCATCTTGCTCTTCTGTGTAAAGTTGTTTTTTCTGAACTCTGGAATTGGTGCTTGAGAACGTTTTTAGGAGACCCCTCTATACTTGTTGTTAAACAGGGCCCTTGCAGAGAAGAAATTGAGCAAGGTCTCCCTGCCTTCAAAACTTGCACTTCACCATGCACTGCTCTTGCAGGGCGTTGAGCACTTCTCAGACTTCTGAATGCCATCTTTGCAGTCAAACCACCTCTGAGAAAGAAACCCATATGCAGCATGTTGCAGAGCTGAACTCCAAGTTATCACTCTCAGGATGTAGTAGAACAGATGACCAAGTGGAGGCAAATGCACTGACAGACAACTCACTGTCTTCTTTTGTGGTGTCAGTTTGGCAAGCAGAGAGGATGGCATTTCATTAGAATAATTGTAGAGAATAAGCAACTAATTTTTTGCCTTCAAATTTAGAATTGGAGAGAAGGTCGGTGTTTTCTGCTTCATTTGTTTGGTTTGTTGATTAGTTAGGGTTGTTTTCTTTGGTTTGTTGATTAGTTAGGGTTGTTTTCTTTGTTTTTGTTTTTTTTTTTAATGGCTGACATTTATGAAAAACTGACCTACACACTGATAGAGATCCACTTGACTCAGATAACAGATAACCCTAGCTCTGTATACTTCACATGAACTGCTTTGGTTTCTTAAGTTATGCTAGTCTGAAGTTTTGCATCCTTTTCCTTTAGAAATGCTTTTGGCTGTTTCCTTCAATGTCTAGCAGTTGCATATTCTCAGGGATTTTACTTACCCAAGGCAAAATAAGAGTAATCACAGCCTTACCCTAGGGGGGAGTAGGGCTGCTTTTTGTGAAGTTAGTAGAGGTGAACTCTGATACAGCCGTGCCCATATAGTGTGCATCCTTGCTGAGACATGGTAAATCCCAAAGCAATCTGATAGAAGTGCTATCTAGTACTGGATAATTGCAGTCAGCATATTTCAATAGAGATCATGAACACATCTTTGTTATGTAATGTCATTGGCATTAGAGCAGAGCTCTCAATTTCAGTCAAGTTCTGCTTAGTAATCGGACACTTTTATTTATTTTATTTATTTGTGGTTTGGTTTTTAAACAAGCTATGTTCTGGAGTCCCCTCTACTATTTAAAGACACCATATTCAGTTTCATATTGAAGTTCTGTAACATTTCAATTGTAGAATATGACTACTGCATACTCAAGTGTTTTAGTGTAAACATAATGAGTCCAACATCCCTGTTTGACACTGTTGTGCTGTGGATCTCCCTTTAACAGATGCATTTAAAGTTAAGGGCCATGTACCTTCACTTACAAGCTCTTTGTAAAACATCATCAGGATTTAAGTTACAGCTGTTTGCTTTTAAAATCTTTCCTAGTTTGAAAAGTGTTGCTTGGTTGGTTTGACATGTAAAAAGTATGCCCAAAA